TGATTCATATATGCCTTGATCTATCGATCAGAGACTGTTAAGAATGCACTCAGTGAACTCCGCAGAGGCTATTTAAACTGAAATAGTCGATATATGAGGGGGGTGTAATAAGTGTATTTGTCCCTCTGTATTGTAGAAGAAATACAAATTCTGCAAAGATTTTTGCAGACCAATTTTCTTTTCGGTAGTGAAATTATGCAACAAACACTCGGTCTAACTGGACAAGTTGTACAATTCACAGTTGTTGGTCATTATTTGAAAAATATGACATACACTGATATTACTCAAAATTTAACAAATGCTCAGATAATTAAACAATATAAATATTCAAATCAACCTGGGAACTCTTCACCAATTGGACCATCAGTGAATATTGTATTCAATGCTTTGGGACAGTTTTTAAGTGTAAATGTTGTTGATTCAATTACGACAAATGGTCATTAATATTCTCTCATACAATACATGGAATTAAACATTAATTTGTGAACGTAAAAAAGATGTAATTCTTCTTAATTTAGCACCTAAGCTATAGTATACCAACAATATTATGTTAACTGGCTCATTGTATATATCGACGCTAAGTACTATCATTTTTATGAACCAGATTCCAACCATAAAGCACAAATTTTGTTTCATATAATATTAGTAATAATAAAAAACAAAAAAGAATTAAGAAGTTATATTTTTTTCAAGAAAATTTCTGATTCGTTTTACATCTTCTTTTATTTGTTCACTGTCTGGTTCTAGTTTTAACGCCGCTTCATAATCCAATAAACCTGCAAAATACAAATATATAATAAAAAGTTTTTTTTACATCAGAAAATCAAAAACTAAAATCAGATACCTTGTGGATAAAGTTCCATTTCACAAAACGCCGCACCACGTCGAATGTGTGCTTTAAGACGACTGTGTAAATTATCTAACACGGGAGGATTTAAAAGTTCCAAAGCCTAAGATGAAAAATAAAAATAGACTAACAATTTTTAGTACAGTACAAATGAAAGCGAATGTAGAAACTGGCATAATGAGACAAAAATTTTACAATTTAAATAAAAATAATAGAAATCTTGAATAAATAGGTCTACATACACGAGAACAATCTTCTATACATTTCATCATGTTTCTAACTTGAAAATGGCAGGCTGCTCGATTTGAATATAGTCTATTTTAATAATAGTTAAGAATAATCATTCAGTAATTAACAATTAAAAACTGCAATAAAAAGTTCTTCAAAGGATACAATGCCATTTTTGGATAAAATTGAACTGCATGATTATACACGCCGATTGCTGCTAGAAAATTACCTTGCTGGAAAAATTGACTTAAAAAACAATATATGCTTTTACTTCGATGTACATTAATTTCTTCAAGACATACGTACTTGGCTTTTGATTTCAGATAATCGATATCTTTCTCTTTATCGGATAGATCCGTTTGAAAATCATCATCTGTCTTATGGCGACTTTCAATTTGTTTTCTAAGCCACTAAATCGAAAGAAGAAAATTTAGTTATGGAATGTGTCAGGAAAAAAATATTTCTTACGTCTTGTTCCAAATTTGATTGTGATTCACGCATAGGAGTTGGAAATACACGAGGTGTAAAATTAACAGCTATTCGTCCTCTGTCACGCAATGGTGTTGTATCTACGGATTCGTCAGATTTTGTCTCTACTAAACTAATAAATAAAATAAAATTTGTCACACGTATTTAGCTATTTCAATTAATCAATACCTGAACGAACGTCACCATTTTGAAATATATCTTTTTCGTTTCTCGGAGTGACTTCTTTCTTAACAAGTGATCGCTCTTCTTTCACGATGTCAGGCTACAAATTGATGTTGCATATAGAACTTTAACGATAGTAGAATCAAACATACATTTTGTATTGACAAATTGTTCTTTTGTTGTTGTATTATTTCAAAATGTTTTATTTCTTCATTTGCTTTCATTCTTTCGTTGTTTTTAATTGATTCAATGCGTTCTCTATCATCATTATCTGTCTGAATAACACAGGGTGAGAAAGTTTTAGCAGTAAATAGACGATTTTGTTTTTGACTCACTTTGATTTGTTCTCGAACTGACTCCCGTTTATTTGAAGTAATTAATGATGATTTTTTTTCAGATCGCTGTTTTTCTTTTTCGCTAATATACACAACAGCATCTTCACGTATTGTTTTCATGATCTCTTTGTTATCTATAAAAATAATCTTTCAATAACTATCGATAATCTAAAACCTCTTCATTCATATATGCATACCAGAATCAGCATGAGAGAGTTTATTCCATCTTTCTGGGGTTTGTTTTGTTAATGTTAATTCAATAAAACCATCTTTAACAATTGTTTTACTTTGATCATCATCGATAAGATGCAACAGATAGCATTCGAACATAAACGGCAAAAATGAAATCTAAATTGAAATAAAAATACAGGATGGCTTTCTACTAGGGAGCATGGAACATACTTTGATATATTTGTTACTGCATAAAACATCCAACTTATTTGCTTTTGCTCCTTTCATAGGTATGTGAAGAACAAGATTTGTATCTGTCTCTTCCCAATTAATATCGCGGATGATTATTGGCATTTTCAAAATAATTCTAAAAAGAAAAGAAAGACAATCAGTATCATCAAAATGACATACTAGGACTTAACGAGTTCGAGTCATTATAAATATATCAATATCTAAAGATTTTTCTCCTAACTGAATTTTTTCTCTGAGGCTAAGGCTAGTTTATTTAGGAAGAGTGAGAACCACCAATTAGAGGTCTGCGGGACCAAACGTTCTTGGTCCCGGTCCCGTGAACAAAATAAGTTTTGGTCCCAGTCCCGTGGAAAGAACTCATTTTCGGTCCCGGTCCTGTGGTCCCGTAAATATTTTTTCAAAGAAATTTTTTAACTTCATACAAGACAGGGGTGTAACCGGTATCAAAATTGCGATACCGGTACCGGCCACCGGTATACAAATTTCATAGCGGTACCGGACCGGCGCCGGTACCGGCCGGTATACCGGTCGGTACCGGCTTGTCTTGATTATGTTTTGCTTAAATACAAATACCTTTTTTGTTTTTCTGTACTGTGAATTTTATTTACAGTTATTCAGAATGTGAGTCAGTTTCATACATGTAA